GTGTGTTTTCCTAAATGGAAAAAAAAATGGATAGAAAAAAGTGGATATTGAATTAATTGAAGGAATTCAGGTATTTGTGAAGAAAAGACCAGAATGGAATAAAAAAAAAATGACTTGCTAGATTCAGGAGAAATATAAGAAGATCAACATCAAAGACTAATTATAAAGGACTTGGTAAGGCTAAAATCTTTACTTCTCATATGGGAAAAAGTCATTTATAACTCAAGAATATTTTCATTATTTGAGCGGTTTGAAAGAATATACATAGAAGGTTTGGGGTTGAGTTGAGTATGATGAGAAGATTCTAAAAAATGAAATTAGATAGGGAGAAGTAAAATGGAGCAATTATTTCATACAAAATGAGGCATGAATGGAAGAACTGTTACAGTGGAGGCAGGAGGGGGTGGAGGGCTGGCAGTGCTAGAATCTCATTCTCATCAGAACTAGGCTAAAGAAGAAATATCAAATACATCCAGAAGGGTATAAAAGTCTTCTTAACTTACAGAGAAGTAGGAGGGGGAGAGGATAGGGTAAGGGAGGAGTTCTTAGAAAGAGTGTGGGTTAGGGAGGCAGTGATTAGAAGCCAATTAAAAGTCTGAAGAGGGATAGGGTGAAAGGAAAGGGAGATAAAGATAAACAGTAAGGAAAATAGGATGGAGTGAAATGCACAACTAATAATTACAAATTTGTATGCAAATGGGATGAACTCACCCATAAAACAGAAATGAACAGCAGAATGAATTAAAAACTAGAACCCAACAATATGTTGCTTACAAGAAACACATTTTAAAATGACACATATAGAGTAAAAATAAGGGATAGAGTAGAAGGTACTATGCTTCAGTGGATGCAAAAAAGCAGGGGTAGTAATCATGAGCTCAGAAAAATTTAAAGCTAAAATAGATTTAATTAAAAGAGATAAACAGGAAAATTACATTGTGATAGAAAGTACCATAGATAATGAAGAAATATCAGTACTAAAGCTATATGTACTTAATGCTATAGCATCCAAATTTTTAAAGAAAAAGCTAAATGAATTACAGATAGAAATAGATAGTAAAACTGTGGGACTTCAATCTTCCCTTCTCAAAACTACATAAATCTAATCAAAACATAAATAAGAAGTTAAAGAGATGAACAGAATATTAAATAAACTAGAAATGATAGCTATCAGGAGAGAATTCAATGGGAATAGAAAGGAATACACCTTTTTCTCAGCAGTACATGGCCTTTATAAAAATTGACCACATATTAGGGCATAAAAATTTTATAGTTAAATGCATAATGTAATAAAATTATATTTAATAAGTGATCATGGAAAAAGAGATTAAATATTAATTGGAGACTAAATATCTAAATATTAAAGAATGAGTAGGTTAAAGAATAAATTATACAAAAAATAAATACTTTTATTAAAAAGAATGCTAATAATGAAACATAGTAAACCTATGGGATGCAGGAAAATTGGTAATCAGAGAAAATTTTATATCTCTAAACACTTACATCAGTAAAATAAAGAAAGAGCAAACCAATGAATTGGGTATGCAATTAAAAAATTAGAAAAAGAACAAATTAAAAATACTCAATTAAACACCAAACAGGAAATTCTAAAAAAAAAAAAATTAAATGTGAGATTAATAAAATTAAATGTAAGAAAACTATTGAATTAATAAGTAAAACTAGAATTTGGTTTTATGAAAAAACACAAGAAAATAGATAAACCATTGGTTAATATGATCAAAAAGAATGAGAAGAAAATGAATTTACTAGCATCAAAAATGAAAGGGGTGAATATGTCACTAATGATGAGAAAATCAAAGGATTTATTAGGAGTTATTTTGCCCAATTATATGCTAATACATTTAAAATTTTAACTAAAATGAAAGAATATTTACAAAAATATAAACTGCCTAGATTAATGGAAGAAAAAAAAAGAATTTCTAAATAAACATTTTAGGGAAAAAAAAAGAAATTGAATGGGCCATAAATTAGCTTCCTAAGAAAAATGCATCAGAACCAGATGAATTTACAAGTTAATTCTATCAAACATTTAAAGATCAACTAATTCCAATATTAAATATATATATATGTATATATATATTTGGAATAATAGGCAAAGGAGTCTTCCTAAACTCCTTTTATGAAACAAATATGGTGCCAATACCCAAACCAGGAAGAGCAAAAACAGAGAAAGAAAATTACAGACCAATTTTATTAATGAATATGGATGTCAAAATCCAAAGTAAAATATTAGCGAGGGGACTAAAGTAACAAATCACAATTATATATGGTGACCAAGTGGGATTCATACTAGGAAAACAGGAATAGTGTAACATAAAGATAACTATTAACATAATTAATTATATCAATAATATATCAAAACAGTTATATGATTACATGAATAGATGCAGGAAAAGCTTTTGACAAAATATAACACTCATTCCTATTTAAAAAAAAAAACTTGAAAGCATAAGTATAAATTGATTTTTTTCTCTTAAAATGATAAGAAGCATCTACCTAAAACCTCCACCAAGTATTATTTATAATAGGGATGAATTAGAAACCTTTTCCAATAAGATCAGGAGTGAAACAAGGATGTCCATTATGACTAATTTTATACAGTATTATATTAGAAAAGCTAGCAATAGCACTAATAGAAGAAGAAATTGAAGGAATAAGAATGGACAGTGAGGTAATAAAACTACCTCTTTTTGCAGATGATAGGATGATATACTTGGAAAATGCTAGATATTGAACTAAAAAGCTAGTTGAAACAATTTAGCAAAGTACCAGGATATAAAGTAAATCCACATAAATCATCAGCATTTCTATATATCACCAACAAAACCCTGCAAAAAAGAGATAGTAAGGGATATCTCATTTAAAATAACTTTAGACTGAATAAAATAACTGAGAATATACCTGCCAAGACAAATCTAGGAGCTACATGAACATAGTTATAAAACATTCATTATACAAATAAAGTCAGATTTAAATAATTGGATAAATATTAATTGCTCAGGAGTGGGCACAGACAATATAATAAAAAATAACAATTCTACCTAAACTAATCTAATTATTCAATGCATCCTAATTAAATTATATATATATATATATATAGTTAGAAAAAAATGATAACATTCATTTGGAAGAACAAAGATCAAGAATATTAAAGGAATTAATGGGAAAAATGTAAAGGAAAGATGTTTAGAAATATCAGACTATATTATAAGGCAATAATTATGAAAATTATCTGGTACTGGCTAAGAAATAGAAAGGTGGATCAGTGGAACAAAGTACTGATACAATACAGAATAGTAAATGATTATAGTAACCTTATCTTTGACAAATAAAATATTTAAACTTTTGGAATTATACACTACTTGGTAAAAAATGTTGGGAAAACTGGAAACTAGTCCAGCAGGAATTGGCTATAGATCAATATCTTACACCGTTTATAAATGGATACATAACCTAGATACAAAGAGAGATAACATAAGAAAACTTAACGAACATGGAACACATTACTATCAGACTTATGAATAAGAGAATTTTTTTTTTAATAAATAAGGGATAGAGCACATTGTGAGATATTGAATGGATATATAAATAGTTCTCAAACTGAACTGCCAAGCATTCTAACTCTGCTTCAGAGAGCGCAACTCTGATGGGCTGGCCACGTTGTTTGAATGCAAAACCTACATTTGCCAAAAAGTCTATTTTATGGAGAACTCACACAGGGCAAGCATTCACATGGTGGTCAGAAGAAGCAATACAAGGACACTCTCAAGGTTTCTCTTAAGAACTTTGGGATTAATTGTGTGACATGGAAGACACTGGCACAGGACTTCTTAGCATGGCATGCTCACATCAGAGAAGGTGCTGGGCTCTGTCAGCAAAGCTGAATTGAAATAGCTCAAAAGAAAAACAGGCTGCACAAATTTAGAGAACCCACCCCAATGGTTCACTTGGACTATTTGTGCCTGACCTGCAGTAGAGCATTCAGAGCGTGTATTGGTGTCATCAGTGGGATGCATGGAAACTTGACTCTAGCATCATGACGTCATTTTGGTTCTCTTCCAGAATGAAGGAAAAATTGTGACCCTACTGCACTGGTTGAGTTGTGAACTAGTGCAACCACTCTGGAGAACAATTTGGAATTAGGTCCAAAGGGTTATCAAACTGTACGTACTTTTTGATCCAGTAATTCCACTACTAGGTCTCGGAGATCAAAGGAAAAGGAAAAGGGCCTATATACACAAAATATTTGTAGCAGCTTTAGTTGCTGTTGTTTTTGGTGGCAAGGAATTGGAAATTGAGAGGATGCCCTTCAATTAAGGAATGGCTGAACAAGTTGTGGCATATAATTGTGATGGAACACTTTTGCTATAAGAAAAAAAAAAAAGCAATGCTTTCAGCAAAGCCTGGGAAAACTTACATGAACTGATGCAAAGTGAAGTGAGCCAAACCAGGAGAACACTGTACAAGGGAACAGCAATATTTTATGATGAACAAGTGTGAATGATAGCTGTTTTCAGCAATACTGTTATCTAAGATAATTCTGAAAGACTTATTATAAAAAAAGTTATTCATCCCCAGAGAAATTCCTGATGGTATCCGAAGACAGATTGAAGTATACTGGATTTTTTTTTAACTTTATTATTCTTGGGTTGTTGGTTTGGGGTTTGGGGTTCATTTTCTTAGATCTGCATTTCCTTTTGCAGCATTGCTATTAGGAAAATACTCTGGATGATTGGACATACATAATCTATAACAAATTGCTTACCTTCTTAAGAAGTGAGGAGGAAGGAAAGAGAGGAAGACAATATGAAATTTAAACTTTTAAAAACTGAATGTTAAATTGTTTTAATGTAATTGAGAACAAAATAAAATAAAAATTTAATGTCAATAAAATACAGACAAAATAGATCCATTCTATCATAGCAGATATTCTCTTGCTTCAGAGAGTGCTCCCAATGCCTTTTGACATGAAATAGAAATCACTTCAAGAATGTGAATGGGCTAGAAAGGAAAGAATTCCTCGGGTGTCCATAAGGGATGTTCATATGAACACGATGACTTTTCATGGCAGCCACTTTGTCCCTGGCTTCTTGAATTCTATCCGAAGCCTTCTGAGCAGCAATGGTATTAATAATTAATTTCTCTTCTACATGCCTTTTATGTATCGCTCTGATCCTAATGGTAGACAAAATGGGAGAAAATACAATGACGTTTCAAAAATTAAAATACCAGAAATTATGAGTAACAAAATTACTTTTGATAATAATATTGCTAATAACCAACAGTTATGCAGTACTTTGCAAAAACACTTTAAAATGTTATCTCATTCAAGCCTTGAAACAACCCTTTAATTATATTAGCTTCAGTTTACAGATGAGGAAACAAAGGCCCAAAGAGTTTAGGAAAATGCCCTGGGTCACCTCATATTTCTAACAGATTTCACACAGTGTCTGATGCAGAGTAGGCACTTACTAAGCGCGTCTCTTCTCCTTCCTCGAAGCCCAGAATTCTATTCATTATCTCACACTGCCCAAATGGGAGCCCACTTCTCTAACAGTCATTTGTCTATGAAAACCAACTTTCTCTAGCTAATTACAACACTGTACATTTCAAAGACTTGAAGAATTACAACAACTTATTTGAATATAACGCCTTAAGGATTACATATGGAGGAAGTGTGTTATTATCCTGATTTGATAGACAAGGAAACCATATGCTCACGGAATGTGACTGACTTGTCCAAGCCTATACAACCGGGAAAAGCAGAGCTTACATTTGAACCTAAGTCACCTCGTCCCAATTCCAAATCCAATACTCTTCCATTGAACCACACGGTCCTCACATATTATCGTGCTCCTTGGTACTTTTTACCCCTACTATAGGCCAAGCCCTGTGCTAGTGCTAGGGATACACAGAAAGGCAACAGACAGCCCCTTCTCTTAAGGAGCTCACCGTCTGAGGGTGGGGGACAGCATGCAAAGAACTACTACAAATGAAGTATAGGCAGGAAAAATTGAGTATGACATCTGGAGGAAAAGGCTCTGAGATGAAGGATGACTAGAACGGGTTTCTCGTAGAAGGTAGGACTTGAGCTGAGAATTGAAGAACGCCGGGGAAGGCGGGAAGGAGAGAAGAGGAGTGAGAGTGCTCGAGGCTTGGAAGACAGCCACTGAAAATACCTGAAGCTGGGCGGCGGGGGGTCTTGCCCAGGGAAGAGCCAGGAGGCCAGTGTCACTGGCTGGAAGAGTAAATGCATGGGGTACAGGATGCTGAAAGACGGGAAAGGTCAGAGTGCCCTGAGGTGTTAAAGACTAGAAGCCAAACAGACGATTTCTATGTGTCGCTGACAGCAGCCTTGAGGCACTGGATTTGGTTCCACGTGGGGTGATGTGATCAAACTGGGGCTTTGAAAAGTCATTTTGCTGGCTGATTAGAAAATGGACTGGAGTGGAGAGAGACTTGGGGCAGGCAGAGCCAAGACAATTCCAAAAGATTCATGATGAAAAACGTCATCTGCCTTCAGATAGGGAACTGATGAACTCCGAGTGCAAACTGAAGTAGAATTTTCTCACTTTATTTTCCTTGCTTTTTTAATATGGTGAAAGTGGAAATGTTTTGCGTGATTTCAAATGTATAATTGAGATCATATCACTTGACTTCTCAGTGAGTGTGGGAGGCAGAGAGAGAAAGAGAATTTGGAACTCAAAATTCAAAAAAAAAGAATGTTAAAAATAAATTATAAATTATAAAAAAGGAAAGGGAAAAAAGTAATCAGTCTGTGAACACTTAGGGGCCAACCTGCATTTATCATCTGTTGAACACAGACCCTAGTAAAGTAATCCTTGTGCAATACAATACGTTATCACCTTCCCCTAAAATTCGTGACCCAAAACAGGTGGTCAGTGAATAGAAAAGCAAAGCAGCATGTAGCAACACTAATAGAGGCACTTATCAAGGTCTCTGCCGCTCAAGCAAGTTCCAGCAGATACTAGAAGCAAGTAGGGTTCCTTGAAAGACCTGGTTCAGGCCGATAACAGCTCCTGGTCTACGTCAAGGTACTTTTAAAGAAATTCCTAGGTGATTGGTACTGTCAGATTCTTATTCATGATTCCATCAGAGGTTCCAAACTGGTCCATGTACAGAGTGTCTGCTAAAGCTTTGAGCCAGAGGCCAGGCTCTCCAAAAAGCAGACCCTGCCCTGCTGTGAAGGACCCACCTGGGAGCAGAGTCAAAGAGCGTCAGAGCCTCCACTGTGAAGGAGGAGTATGGTCGCCTTGTTTTCAGCAATAGTTTGCGTGGGAGAGCACTGGGGATTCCCAGTTGCCTTCAAAACCTTCTCAAGCCTCCTCTTCCTCCCCCTCTTTATATTCTCCACTTCAAATGAGAACTTTGTCTCCTCTTTCATAAGAATATAGGATTAGAGTTGGAAGGATAACAGGATTGTAGACAAAGAGGTTGACGGGGCCTCTCTTGTGGTGGTGTGGTCGAATGCCTCCATTTTGTAGATGAGGAAACTGAAGGCCAAGGAAGTGGTGGCGTTCCTGAGATCCCACGCCAGTTGGAAGAGACCTTTGGGATCTTCATTTGGTCCAGCCTTCTCATTCTAAGAGATGAGTGAACAGAAGCCTGGACCCATTCAGTGACTTTCCCAAGGCCACCACGGCACTGAAATCAAAGGAAGGAGATACCACGATGCGACAGAAAGTGTTATGTCTAGTAATCAAGCTGAACTGGAATCCGCGTCCTTTGACTCCCAGTCCAGGGCTCCTTCTCTTACACCAGGAAGCCTTTTCCTTCTGTCTCTTACACAAATTCCAACAGAACGAGGTCCCTGCATGTTCAGTTTGATATTGAAAATCACTGGAATGAATGTAGTCAAAGGGCTTGGCCAATGACCGAGAGTCAACATCAGAATTAGTGGCATTGCTAGAATTCTTAAATTCTCTGGCCTATCTGCACTCATACTACATTTCTGTCTCTGAAAATATTTCTAGTCAGTTATGGCAGCTTACAGGATACTGGGAGAGAGGGTGGCCCAATGAGAGGGTGGAGCCAGGGCTAGGTTTGAAGTCAGAAGACCTGGATTCAAAACTCACTCTGTGACCTTAAGCAAGACACTTAATCTCTCCAGCCCTCTTTGAGAAAATGAGGAGGTCAGACTAGAGCCCATGTTTAGATTTCTGAACCTGTCACACAGGGCTCCCCCCTTGTTCCAGAGAAGGATGCCTGTCTTCCTGTGTGCTTTCAAGGGGACATTGACAGCAGCATCAGAGAGAGAACAGGAGTAGACAAAGATCCATGAAGAGGGCTCGCTTGACTCTACCCCCTACAGCCTAATGATGGCCACACATTCAATTTGCTGGGATAAAAGCAAAGCTAATTCAATTTCCTTAATGTTAATTTGCATTAGATTTAGATTTTGATACTCTGCACTTGCATTCCTTCCATTTTCAAAAGCCAAATAGTTCATTAAAATGAGTCACTATAGTAACTTTAACTTGTTCCCAAAGACGTAGGAAACAGTGTATATTATGATAGAATGAATTTAAGTCTAAAAATGAAGGAAATCCTCTTGTATTATTGGTTTAAATGGATTTAGATATTTTTGTAGCAGTTTCTAAAGCACTTTTCATACTTAGGGAGAGCACACTTATAATTAAAGTACCACTATGAATAGTCTTCAGATAGCTTATGAAAAAGAAAAGGCAGATGTTTTCTTTGCTTTTGTCAAAAGGAATCATGTTGAAATGATTCAAACTCATCCTCGCTCTTATTTAAAACTGCTTTTGAGAGCACAACGTTTTTTTAAGGGAAAACATTTCAGAATTTAGATTAAATAGAGTAGCTATAATTAAGGGTCTGCAAGCATAAATATTACAAGCATCAATTTGCTGGCATTTACATAATGTGACCATTTTAAATCTTCTTGGCATAAAACCTGGCCAAAAGGTTTCTAGACCAATAAAATTTTGATTATCTAAGGCATGATTTAGTAAAGATTTTTCAAGGTTTGATATTTCTAAGTTTTCATGGCTCTTATCACCATCTGAACAGCAGTCAAACACTGAGAAACATTCATTTCCCGCCAAAGATCTTTACAAATGCGAAAGCAGTTATTCTCCTTGAGAAATCCACAGCTTAATTAATGAAAAAATGTGAATCAGCTAGTTTTACATTCACTAAATACAATTTCTGACACATAGTAGGTGCTTAATAAATACTTGTTGGTTCATTAAACTTATTAAAGGAAGAAATAACAGAGAAATGCAATTCCTGTTACAAAGGGAGAAACTGAGTTACGTAACCAAAAAATGTTTTGTTCTTTTCTATAAAATAAATTAACATCTGAAATTTCAAAAATAGATCTCCTTCTCTCCCCAAATCTCTAGAACAGTCAATGTGTCTCAAGTCCTATAGAGTCTTTCTTATTTGTTTCTCTCGTCCTCGTCCACTCATTGCTTTCCATTATTACCAACCCAGACCAGGTGTACCACATTCCTGAAATACAGAAAGCAAACATTTTTAATGTCTATTCCCCCAGTTCCTTCTACTTTCTGCACACTGTCCCTTGAAGGATATTCCTATAATGCTACTTTCAGCATATTATTTCACTGTTCCAAAAATTTTAATGACTTCTCACTATGTTCCAAAATTAATCCAAACTCCTTCACCTCGTTATCCTGGCCATTTATAATCTGATACCAGCTACCCTTCCAATTTGATTCTCCACTACTCCCCTTGTGAATTCCCTGCTACAATAATATTGTTTTACCCACTATCTATGAAAATAGTCTTTTCATTCCTAACTCCAAGGCATTAGTCACAATGTTTCGGAGATGGAAGGGACCTCAAAGATCATTTAGTCTAATTCATGCCTAACAAAGCATTCCCTCTGTCATGTATCTTGCCAATGGCTATCCAAGCATGAACTGAAAGTCACTACTTTCTTTCTAGGTAAAATGTCTCATTTGTGACTTACTCTAATTGTGAGAAAGATCTCCTTGCATAACATCTAAATTGACCTGTTGCCACCAACTTTCACTGCTCCTAGTTGTGTCGTCTGGGACCATGGACAGCATGGCTCCTGCCCAAGGTAACCTTTCCTCCCCATCACCACCTCTACCCAGGCTATATCTCCAGAATTCCTTCAATTTGTGTACATCACAGAATCAATG